CCCCAAAACCCCAAAACCCCAAAACCCCAAAACCCCGTTAGACAAGTCAACTATTGTTGTCTATTAATAATTTATATTATTTTAAGATGGAAGAAAAAGAAAGTCATGAATCTGTCGTGAGGTAAGGGTTTTATAGGGTTTTGTGTGTAATTATAAAGGAATACCACTGAAGAAAAGCAATCGTTGATCCAGAGTATGGCGGATAAGGAGGAAGAACCTACTAATGGGGGTGATGGTGACTCAGTGCATGCCAGTCCTTGGCAGGTAATTATATTGATTTTCTTACACAAAATTAGGCTGTTTTCTCTAATATGGCATGTTTAGTGGGTTCCTCTCTCTATTCTGGCAGCGATAGTATTTGCAGTTGGGAATACATTAGTGAGCCCAATAGCAAAGTTCAAATACTGGACCAGAGCAATTCAAGCTCCTGGAAGTGTTTTAGGATGTATTGTTCTTCTTACAATAGTCACAATATTTGATCGTCGTAGAGGAAACCCCAACTGGTTTAAAGGGATTTATTTCAAACATCCTCACCGTGGTTTAAAAAACCAAGGCATTAGATATCCAAGAGTGATTCTAACAATCGGTTGTGTGCTTGTTCTTCCTATTCAGTTCTATTCATTCACAATGAGTTATTTCTATGCGAGTAAAGCTGGGATGAATGATGGCATCATCATGGCAATCTGAATCTTCAAACCGATAATCAATTCTATTGCATTCAGACTCTTATATAACCAAAAACTCAGATACTTTGAGATTATTGGCATTTTATTTTCAGCCGGCTCTATTGTTCTTATCGGGGTTTCACAACAATCAGACAGCGAAGGACACAAGAGACTCTATATGTTTATCTCTATGGGGCTTATGTTCGTAGCTATTTTCTTAGAAGCTTTAATAGGCATTGTTGTCAAATATTTTCTTGCCTTTAAAGACAACAAAGCAAATGTGTCTTCTTTTTACTCTTTTTTTATTTGAATAATTGATAGCATCTATGTTATCATCCTTATTATTTTATTGAATACAGGATTGGAAGTTACTTGGAAAGATATCGTCTTTGCCCAAACATCGAGTATTCTGTATGCCTTTGGCCAATTCATAATGGCCTTTGCTATCATAAAAGGCAAAGGTGGAACTGCAAGTGCTCTGATAGAAACGATAGGAGTGTATCAAACAATTATTGAAGCTGTTGCTTATTCGAGATTCCCAAATATATGGCAAATTTTTGGAATGGTATGAGCATTCTTATCATCTATCATCATAGTTCTTGGATATCATTTCTGAAGAAGACAGCCGAGTGGCTAAAAACATTCATTTGGTATGCTCAATCCTAAATACTAAATAAGGGGTTTTGGGGTTTTGGGGTTTTGGGG